CCCCCCCCCGCCCCCGCGCGCGGTACGCCCCCCTTGCTTTTCAAAAAACATTTTCTCTTTAACAATCTTGTTTCTTTCAAGAATTTTGTCTGAGCTTTTGCCCAGATTTGGTAACGAATTAAATGAATATTTAACGAAAACGTGCCTTCTCCGACTTAGTCTTATAGATTATTTGAGCGCACAATGATTTTACTCTTAAAGATCGTCTCTCCACTTGCCAAATCTTTCTCCTACTTTGAGATTATTATTTAGCTATTGTGTTGAAATTATGATGGTAGATGCAATAACTAACATTTTCAAAAATTTTGTCAGCCTTAAGGGTTAAGTTAACCTGCACATCTCTAATCATGGAGTTCACGTTTTTTGGACGCAAGATCCGACCCGGATCCGACGAAAATACAAATCGGTACCCATATCCAGCTGGAGCCGAAAATTTTTTTGTGGTCGATTTAGCGCTCTATATAATTTCTCCAAGACTAAGAACTATTTTTATAGTGGCTCTAACGTGATACTATTAGACTGGAATCATTTTCGTTTAAAAATCATGTTTTTCTACGGAGAATATTGCAACTCGTCCCCCTGCGTTTTTTTCCGGGCTCGCCATCTGAGGGGGTCTTCGATGAAGCGGGTGTCCGGACTTTCCGAAGTCACTTCGGTTCGAAGACCCCCTCAACAAAACTCGTGCTTTCAAGGGACCTTGAGACCAACGAATTTCGGAGCGAATCATTTTTCGATTCATATATAAAATCATCGTAAAAAACAGTTTTGGAAAAAAAAGAAAGTCGAAAATTTGAAAAATGAAATCAGCCATTTCGTTGAGAATTCGATGCTGATCATCGTCATATAGTTTTTTTCGGAATGGTTCAAGGCCGCTCTAACCGAAAATCTTTCTACATTCTTTATTAATTTTAATAAAACACCATTTTTCATACAATTACCGCTGATTGGTATGTTATTGGTTGTAACTAATTTTGAAATATACAATGAAAGTTGTTCTAATGAACATAGTTTTTGCAATAATTGTTCAATTTTATCATAATTTACTCTAACATTTGTTTCCGTATAAAATGAAAATCTTTTTAAATTGGATGTCTGAATAAAGCTTTCTACGTTATGTTGAACATCTTTTTGCACTTTTACACTTAAATACTCGAGTGTAAGAATGATATTTAGTAACAAAATAACAGAGTTATAGTATTTCAGATGTATTTTCAAAGTTTTTAGCATTGACGATGATATGATTAGTAGTCGCAATCGGACAAAAACTAAATCGCGATTAATATTTAGTAAGACTAATTCGGTTACCTGACATTCATTTGAGAATCAATGTGTAAAAAGTTCTTGAGAGAATTATTTTATTTAGCCATATTTGACATACTTTATTTTCAATTTTGTCACTGTTTTTAATCTTGTCATGTGTAGAAACAAGTGGATAGCATGTTTCAAATTAATCGATAGTTGATACAGATTATGAAATGCTGCTGATAGAAATATTTTGTGTAGATCATCACCGTTGATTTTTAATTTTAATATATCATATGAGTCGTAAGGAAATACTGCAGAACAATAATGATCAGTCGTTTCAGTGATTTGTCTTGCAAGTCAACAGTACGACGATATTCAATACACAAGTATGCCAATCGTTTGTTTAAATCAAAATATGCTCTCATCATATCTGTACATTGTAAATAATCAAATATACAACAAACAAGTTCAAAGTTAAATCGTCAACTAGTGTTGCAGACGACAGTATCTCGTTGCCGTCCATAAGATCTAAATAATAAATTAACTCATAATTTGCTCACTAAACAATTCTTGATAAAACGACAGTAAGAACCAGCTCCACTAGTAGCTCACTTAAGAGCCATTGCATGTTAGGGAGGAGCGAAGTTGCTCAATCAATTTCTGAGTTTGTCCTAAAAATTTTTCATCGGAACTTACGTGTTTCAGAAGTTATGGAATTTTTCGTAAAAGCCCGAAAGAGAGATTGAAACGATAACTATGTAAAAGTGGAATTTCTTTTATTTATATCTTGGTCTAGGAAGTGAAATAAATTCATAGTTTATAGTAGAGATACATTTATACAATAGACATAAGTAATATTAAATGTAACAACATATTTTTCAGATTAGAAAAAATTATGTAAAAGTCTTCGCGCTAGCAAAACTCTGCCTTGTTGTGCGTATATGTTCGAACTTTTACGATAGTTATTTTTGCACACGCTCTTGTCTATAGATAGTACTCGTCCGCGACTACTTATGCTCCAAATGTGGGCTCTTGATCTACTTCGTAGATCAAGATATAAATAAAAGAAATTTCTTTTGTGTATATCTTAGTCTAAATGAAAGTATGCTGCGTCAAGGGTTGCTGTCGTTTTATATCATCAGTATTGACAGTGTAGCTGAAGTGCACTTTTTCTTCTTGCTCATTTGTTTCTGTCTGTTTATTCACATTTCTGTTCTGTTAGTGTGAAAAAATGTTGTAATTCAACATTCTTTCGTGAGCGTTTTTTAATCTTTTGCTTTTCACAGGTTCAAAAGATGGGGGCAAAAGTTTTCAAGAATTGATTAAATCAATCAAAACAAACTTTAGAGCGAAAAATAAAACCTATTCCAAACCATTCGCATTTGATCTACAGTATGTTAATTTGAACGAAGACTTGATTTGTGTTACAAAATAAGCACGGATGTTTGTTTATTTTTGTAAGTAGGAATATTTACCTTTAAAAAGTTTGGAAACGAATATTTCATGCAACGGCCAAAAAAATCTTCCATCTCAGTTTTCGGTAATTGTAAAAACAGTTCCTTATAAAACATCAACTGACGACACCCAAAATGAATTTTTAATAAAATACTCAGCTATTTTTGTTGTTGAAGAACTGTTAGGTAGTAGGTAGAAGAGATCGTACTCACCATAATAGAATTGATTTAACATTAAAAGAGGAATGTAAAACATTATTGAATGCCGTCGAAATCTCAGTTGAAGGACTATAGCATGACACCACAGAATATTTATAAGCGTCGCGACTTAATTTGTTCAAAATGTAATTATCCGGGGCATATTAAGAAGAATTGTCAAAGTCAAATTAAAGTTTGTCGTCGATGTGGAGGAGACAAAAAAAACGGGAACAATCATAAAGGATGTGTAATAAAATGCCATCATTGTATGAGTGCTGATCGTCAGTGAACTGATTATAAATATCCTCGAATTGCAGCGTATCGTAAACAACTCGTAAGTGAATTGGAAAATCGAGCTGATTTGTTGCCTCACACATTCAACTGTGATCTTCAATCTTTAATCAAATACTTGAAACTAACAACTAAAAACAAACCTATGAAATAGATTGCTGCGCTCAAGAATCCACTATCTTCATTTTCGAATCAACGGAATAAGTCCATGATCAAATAAATGCTATGTTTCTATTTCTTATTGGCAAATTAAGCTTTTTTGTCTTGAAAACAGATTTGAGGATGTAACAATAGTTCTTCTTCATTGGGGAAACATGAATACCATGATATATCAGCAACGGTCCTCTTTATGAAAAAACATTTTGAGAATCTGAAATGTATGGTAGCGATTACGAAAGAGAGAACTTTGTTTTAAATGAATATTAATGTTGGGATTGTGTCATGGCTGCAATGTTCCTATGAGTAAGATATTGCATAACTAACTATGTGAAACAATTTCATTATTTTTGTTCTTTCTGTCTTTTTAATCGAACCTTTTTTGCGTTATGTGCTGAAAACAGCTGATGATGATTTTATTATTAGTATTATTGAACTATAATTCACAAAAAAGAGTAGCAGCGAGTAGTTTCGATCTACCGACCTCAACGATTGTTCACTAATGTTGCAGTTTTTGCGTTTTTCAAAAATATAAGTTTGAACAGAGCGGAAATTGGTCATATTGTTGTTGAACACTCTCGCTGAGTTATGAGCCCAGCACGCTTCCACCTCGCCACGCTGTGCAGTAGCTCTTTATAGTTATCTTTTTCGCTTTCAATAGAACATAATTCATAAAGGGAGCAAAAATGAAAAGATGAGTGAATTGTAACGGCATTGCATCATCCCAGAAAAGACATTCAGAAAATTAAAGTTAAGTAGAAAAAATTGTGAGCCGTATATGCGGAAGGAGAACGTCGATTGTCTATGAATATAGCATTTTTCCTGCACTTGGTGCATCAGCGACTGACAGAAATCGTTAGTGTTCTGATGGAAGAAAACGTTATTTCGTAATCAATCTTTTCTCATGTGTCGGCAATATATAAGTTTACGTGCTTTGTGTTTAACGGGGAATTCTCCAATTATTCATTCTTTATATTTTTTTATAAGTGAATCACAATCACAAAAAATATGTGCTTTGTGTGTGATATAAAAAAAGAAAGTGCGAATCTTGTAAAAAGCCACTTTCAAAACAAATTAAAACTCCAGTTAGCTTCATGACTATTGCTCGTTCATCAACTACTTCCGATAATTTACCATAATTTCATAAATCTCGATCGGTGAACTATACTTTATTAACTCTGTATAGTACGAAAATATATTATATATATTACGAGATTTGAAAGAACGATGTATAGAAAAGAGCTCAATTTGAAAGT